AAATTTCACAGAAAATTCTATTTTTAGTAACTATGGCAACACCGTTCACATAAATCAAATACCGATGCATTATTCTATGTTTCTTAGAGTAGTCTACTTGTCTGCCAAGTTACATAGAAATCTGACCAAAACTGTAGAAGGAGTAGTGTTTTAAAGGAATTTCACAGAGAATTCTATTTTTAGTAACCATGGCAACACCATTCATCGAAATCAAAAACCCATGCACTATTCTATGTATCTTAATGTAGTCTACTTGGGTGCCAAGTTATATTGAAATCACAAGGAAACTGTAGAAGGAGTAGCGTTTTTAAGAAATTTCACAGAAAATTCTATTTTTAGTAACTATGGCAACACCGTTCACCGAAATCAAAAACCGATGCATTATTCTATGTTCCTTAGTGTAGTCTACTTGTCTGCCAAGTTATATTGAAATCAGACCAAAACTGTAGAAGGAGTAGTGTTTTAAAGGAATTTCACAGAGAATTCTATTTTTAGTAACTATGGCAACACCTTTCACCAAAGTCAAAAACCGATGCACTATTCTATGTATTTTTGTGTAGTCTACTTGTATGCCAAGTAATATTGAAATCAGACTAAAATTGTAGGAGGAGTAGCGATTTGAAAAATTGTTTACAGACGGACAGACAGACAGACAGACGGATGACAGACGCATTACTATCGCATAAGCTCTGCTGGTCTCTGACCAGTAGAGCTAAAAACACGTGCATGACGAGATAAACAGCTAGTCAGAAACAGGGCTTAGAGCACATTGATTGACGGATTCATTAAGTATGTAAATATAAGGAATAACTGTCAAATTTTTCAATTTCATGACGATGATCAATCGGCGTTTATGCAGATTATCACTCAAGTCAATCGATTGATCACGTCATGAAATAGAAAAATAAGAGTTTTCCTTAAATCAATGTATCAAATGGACATATACGAGTTGATATTTATTTTTTATGTAAAGGAGAAAGTCCGAAAACTGTCCATTCTGTGAGAGAAAGAACTGTTCAAGGCCCGAAGGGCCGAGAATAGTTTTTTCTCTCACAGAATGGACAGTTTTCGGACTTTATCCTACTTAAAACATTTTCTCTATTGTTAACTTAATAAACTGTACGAAATCTCCAAGGTCAAGGTTTCAAATGAAAGTTCTTGTCGAAAAGAAGTGATATTTGAAAAATGAAATTCCTACTATCTACCGTTTAAGAAGTAGGGCCAAAGTAAAAGTTTGCAATATTTGTATAAAAGTGGGTCTAACTTCAAGGTCAAAAGTTTTTGGTATCAAATGAGAGGTCTTGTCCCAAGGATTAAATATGTGAAGTATGAAAGCCCTAGTACTTACCCTTCAAAAATTATGGTCAAGGTTGTATTTTTAAAGTAAGTCAAACTCCAAGGTCAAGGTCAAAGGGTCAATGTTCTTGGTATCCAATGAAGCGACTTCTCAAAAGGATTACATATGTGAAGTATGAAAGCCCTAGCCCTTTTTGTTCAGAAGTTATAGTCAAAATAAAAGTTTTTTTTCTAAATACAGAAATCTCTAGGGTCAAGGTCAAAAGGTCAAGATTATTGGTATCCTATGAAAGGTCTTTTTACGAAGAATAAACATGTTAGGTATAAATGCCCTGGTATCTACTGTTCAAAAGATATGGCCAAAGTAAAAGTTTAAAATGTTTGTGTAAAAGTGGGACAAACTCCAAGGTCAAGGTCAAAAGGTCAAATTTGGTGGACCCAAGAAAGCTCTTGTCACAAGAAATACACATGTGAAATATAAATGCCAGGCGCGTAGCTGCCTATACGCAAGTACGCAAGTGCGTACACATCATTTTCAACAAAAAAAAAAAGAAAAGAAAAGAAAGAAAGAAAAAGAATAAAAAAGAAAGATTTATTCGGAGAAAAAGAGGCACTACCTGTCTTTCAAATTATTTTATGTCTTATTGTTTCTATTCAAATTTTGTTCAGAATATCGTTAAAATCCAGTCTTGTATAAATTGAATTCCAAAATTCTTGAGTAAGAAAATATTGTTGAATCAAAATTTTCAACTGTTAATCCGCGTAATCCTGATTATCCGGACAAATACATGTATTTGATGAAGGAAAGCGATCTAAGTAAGTGACATTTATTTAAATAAAAATTTACAAGGGTTTGGACGACTATACAAGAATATCCGTTAAAGTAATGAATAAATATCGATAACCCCCCCCCCCCCCCCCCCCCAAAAGGCAAAATTCAAATTATTGAACAAATTTAATATAAATATAGATCATTTATGAATATCTTCTTTTACTGATGTAACCATTTTGTAGAATTTACGTACTATCACATTGTTTAAGCTAACAGAATACAGTGAGGTTGCCAATAACGAATCGCACCCGTTAACGAATCACTTTCAGATGAAAATTCTGTATTTTTCTTACCAAAGTCCAATACTTAGCTTAACCTACCCTGTCATGCTGAATTATTCTTGCTTTTATCATTTATCATGAAATTATTAAATTCAACTCGTTCAATGTAATAATTTTTAAATAAACATGAACAAGCTTTTTTGTGACGCAGACCAGAAGCGTACATGCAAGTAGACTACTTTCACTTTTCGGTACCGCTCCAAAGTGAATCGTACATTCTAGGTAAACAAATTTGGTGCAGATGTTTAATAAAATTATGTGTCTAAAAGCACTGAAAGCGTCATACAATTTCTAAATCAGAAATTAATAGTATTCGCTTTAAAGTTGGGGGTATTTAGGTTTCCAATAACGAATCACTGTTTCAAGAAATATGAAATGCAGGGATCCTGTCCAAATCATAATTTTTCGTATGCGGTTTTTTGCACACCAGTTACAACAACAACAAAAAAAAACAACAGAAGATGTCTACCAAAAGCGTACAATAAAGGTGGTTAAAATACACATAAACAAAATCAGCAGCCAAAATCAGTAAGAAGTGCAGAGCATGTGGATTCGAGAATGTCTCCCGGCGGTATATGTGCATGTAAGCTAATGTGAAGACATCGACGATAGCGAAATAAAAATCGTCATGATTACCAAACAAAATTAAGAATTAGAAATTTTATTTATTTATCCCTTTGCAATTTAAACTTCCTACTAAATCATTATTTCCAACGATACACCGTTTGCAGTTTTCCTATTCCCTAAAAAATTATTTCAAATAATCAATTTTTATTTCTTGTCATGATCAAGATCAAGCTCATGTAATATAAAATGCATATTGCTAACAATACTTTTTCAATTCAACATCAAGCTAAATAAATTATAAACAGAGTTTTATGATACCCCCCCCCCTCTTTTTCAACATATACTAGTTAGTAAACATTTGATTTAAATTACACATTGAGGAAATGATATGCAGACTGCAGCCTTTTGCCTATATGGAATATATGCCACTGTCTTCAAGCAAAAGGAAGAAAGAGCACTATGAAACAGCAGAGAAGAATGAGTTGTCTTATTCATTTTTATAGAGACGATGGACAGTTGAAGTAGACCCATGTAAAGTGAAAGGACAACCTCCAGTATTTAATAAATTGGAATACTGGTATTTAGTCTACTGTGGATGTTGGAATGGAGAAATTCAGCAAATGAATCCCAACATCATTATTTGTAAAGTTGTCTCTGCTCATTGGAGGAAATTTAGGTGTTGGGTCTGGACATTTTGAAAATATAATTGTTCCTTTCAGCTTTAGGTATCTCTGAAGCCAGACTCGAAGGAAGTAATTTCAGTTGGTGGGGGAGGGGTGCAGAGCCATACATTTTCAGCTGAGGAGGCACTATCAACCACCAAAATTCCTTGACAATTAATTAATCAAGCATAAAAAAGGTCATCGGACTTTTTTTTTTGAGGGGGCACAATCATATATCTAGCGATATATTTTCTATCTAAATAGCGGCAAAATTATGGGGAGGGGGCGTGGTAGCTCAAATTCAATGAGTACAATTCTTGAATAAAAAATTAATTCTTCGGCTGTTTGCAGTTCATCACATATACGCGTTTACGACATCTTATATCAACTAGTCATTTCATGAGTTCATTGTTGTTGTTTTTGCATTAATTGTCGGATGCAAACAACTCAAAAAATTCCTAGCTTTTCTACTTTTTTTTTGGGGGGGGGGTGAAATATTTTAAGGCATAGTAAAACGTTACGTAAGAAGGGTATTTTTAAATTTACACGGTCCCGAACCAGAATAATCAGCTTTATGTCACGTGATTCGGTAATGGAGAAAATGATCCGCTAAAGGAGAAAACATCATTCATACAAGTACAGCGATAATTTTTTATTAAATTAGTGGTTATTGGGAAAATATATATGATGTTATAAGTAAAACATAGTCCCACCAAGCAATGTTGTAAAATGAATTTAACTCAAACTCAGGTACGAAATATCCAAGCAAATATACTAAGTGATTCGATATCGGCAACCTCACTGTATATAAAGACCCACACCCCCGTTTATATTTTGAAATACTTTAACTCCAATGATAACTTATTAAATTACTTCTCTGTTTAATCTTGTCACACTTGGAAACTTTTTTTCTAATACCAATATATTCGAAAATTAATTTGATTAAATTATCCTTCTCTTCCTGAAGTATCCATGGAAGTATACATGTAACTTAGCTAAGTGTTTGCTTGAGAAACGAGATGTAGCGTGATTTCTTTTAAAGGAAAATGACTGAAACATTTCGTAAAATCCAGGAGCCTCAGGGCGACCCCCAGACCCCCGACCATTTTCTGCGTACACTTCATTTCAATGCTGGCTACGCGCCTGAATGCCAGAGAAACAGACGGACAGACCGGCCGATGGACACGACAAAAACATATACCCCCGAAACTTCGTTTACGTGAGAATAAAAACATTCAGTCTCTGTGTCTTACATGTAATTTGTGTGTACTATGACATCGATTCAGTACTTTCAGTACTTTGATTATAGCTAAAAAAAAAAAATAAAATATCGGGATCGGGATCGGCATTTCGATTTGTATACACGAGGAAAGCACACTGACAGTGACAACACAGTGACTGTAAACCGTAAGTACACATCGTTGCATCGTTTCTTGCAGGTGATTTCTCTATTTTTATATGATTATATTTTCTCTAAACAGAATGATTTATATTTTGAATTATTTTTATCAACAGGGACCTTAAATTAGCAACATTTTTCGAGGTATTAATCAAAATCAAAATGGTAATCATGGTAATTAGGTCCTGTACAATCACTACTCACTAGATTTAGCTACGTACATGTAGCTTGATTTATCTACTAAGCTTTATTTACCTATCTGATGCACAGGTACTTGTGGACAGGACCCACCCCCCCTGATATTCACCCCGGGGCTTATTGGACATTTTTTTCAAAAATTATATTTATTACACGTATTCATCATGTGTACAATATGAAAAAATCGTCAACATCCCGAAACAATCGGAGATAAATTATGTGGAGAAAATAAACCTGTTTACAGTAATGGCTGTGATTCTAGAACATTGTTGAATAAAATGTAATTGAAAAGTATAACTACTGATTTGATCATGTGTTTCAGATATAAGAGCAAAAATTACATCATGATGTCAGGAGTCCAGACTTGCCATGTACATGTACCTTGTCAGGAATACCCTGTATCTAAAAGAGAGTCTACAGGTTGGTATAGGGGCAATGTTGTTTAACATCCCTTTCAAGAATTTTTCATTCATAGAGAGACGCCACCATTTGCTGGTGGGGAGCAGCAAATTTTCTCCCATACTTGGCATTTATGGAGAATGAGCAACGGAGGATCTTTTGGGACCTTAAAAAAACAGAGACCCTGTGTCACGATAGGCGATGACATAATAACCATCCCTCACTGCTCAATGAACCTGCGTGGGTACTGAATAAAGATCTAAATTTATAGCCTTTTCTGTCATATGATTGTATGGTAACTAAATATCTTTATACAAACAAAAAATTCTCAAACAGGGCGTTAAAAGGACATACAAGCCATCAATTCATGTTACAAAGAAAATATGCTGTACAGTATTGAGACTTTTGTTTTGAAATGTATTCATCCTGAGACGTATTTTAAATAGACAATGCACCAGGATATGGATATAATTCGACGTCAACCTCTTCACCATGCACGTTCGCCATTTTGTTTACTGCCGATAAGAGTGACGTCCCTTTGGTGACTATAAAAGTTAAACCTGCTCAGCTTGAAAAATATGGCTTGAAAAATATAGCGATCTATCAATGATAATATTTTCAATCGATTGTTGCCGATCTTGGCCTTAAATCAACGATATTTTGATAGTCGGCGACTATCGTAACAACACTAAATATAACATACCTGTATGTTATATATGTACATTTTCAGAGATTTATGGAATGGGTAAAATTTATATGGAAGATTGATTGTCCTTTTCTTGTTTGATTGTAGAAAAGGAAGAGACAATTGGGAATTCTCATCCTGTGAATAAGAAAGCCTTAGAAGATAATCAACATCAGGAAAATATAAAGGTAAAAATTCTTTCCAAAGTCAATGTGTCAATCTATTTGTCTTTGAGTGAAAACTTTTATGCGACAAATAAATACTGTAGAAGCAAAGGTTCTCATGGGGATAAAATCTTGTAGAATTATTAGGCCAGTATGCATATGAGTAAAGTGTGTTTCCTATATTCCAACCAGGGAAAATAGGATGGGTGGTAGATACTGAAAACATTTTATTTTAATATTTTATTGTATAAAATTCAACATGGAAATCCCTGCCAAAACATTTCAGATAAATGTGAATAGGATAAATTCATTTTGTTAAATGCAGAAGTGATCCTGATTTCTTATAATAGTAAAACTAGATTTATTATGCCCCCCTTCAAAGAGGGAGGGCATATTGCTTTGCTGCTGTCTGTCGGTCAATTTAGTTTCCGTTCATTTTTCTTCACAACCGCTGCAGATACTGAAATGAAATTTGGTATACAGATATATCACATGAATATCTAGGTCAAGTTTTGTTTTGGGTACCATCGCACCATTTTTGTTAGAGTTAAGCCCCTTGGACTTTGAAAAATTCCACTTATTTGCAGTTTCCGTTCATTTTCTTTGCAGAGGTTGCACATATTCAAATGAAATTTAGTATACAGATTTTTTCTGGATCGCACCTTTTAGACAGTTATGCCCTTTAGGACTTACAAAATATCCAATTTGGGGGCAGGGGGGCATAAGTGTTTTACAAACATCTCGTGTTATCTTCTAGAGAAAGATTGAAGAATAAATTTTCAAGGTTGATTGGGGAACCAGAAACAGACCATTTATATTTTAAGGCCTTATCTTAAATGGCTATTTCATTTTAATGTTTTGAAAACACTTTTCAATTAATTGTGAAATAAAAAATTTGTTTGGGATTAACTTTCGTTGATCATGTTGATAATTGTTGACAATATGATACAAAATTTTGTCCCCCAAGTATATTTCTGCTTTTACAGTATTTTTTCAGCTCATAGGTTCAAAGTTCATAGGTTCAAAGTTTAGCTTAACCAAGCTCAAGGCTCAAGTAAATTTCAAGATGATTTTAAGCTCTTTCAATGTAATTGTTTACCAAAACTCCCTAAATGTATGACCTTTTTAAGTTTTACATAGAAAAATACAGGTAAAATATTTTAAAAACATATAAAAAATTAATCAAAGTCATGACTAATGTTGTTTATATGAAAGCATCCACGGGTAGTGTAGATTTAAGTTTTTATTCATATCATAATCCTCGAGGTTAAGATGGAGCCAAAATGAGGGGTCAAATGTTTACATAAGAGAAAAGAGGAAAGAATCATTTCAAGAACATAAAAACTATGTTTAGTCAAATCCATATGTAAACATCTTTATGTTGTGAAGATTTTAATGTGTTCGAACCATGACCCCTTGAGGTAGCACTTGAAGGGCCTTAATTGGGGATCCGATAAGTAAGAATGTCTTCAAAATTCTATTTTCCAAGAACAGCAAAGTTATATGCTATATTGAGTTTCTTCAAATAGTATAAAATTAAAGTGCCCCACCTCAGTAAACTTTTCAATGCTGAAATGAAATGTGCATTTTCCTAGTTGATGTGCTCAGATAAATGATCATGTTTTTAAACTTTTTTTAATATGATTTAATAGTACTATTAAAAAGAGACACACCATGAAATGAGATTTTCTAATTATTTCAGATTGGCAGGCCAGCCGTTTCATCTGGTTCACAGATTCAAGAAGCGTTAAACATCTCGAGTGCTAATGACAATCAAACTGAGGATGGAGATGAGAACATCAGCTCACAATTAAGTGAAACGCCTTCTGAATGTGACATCCACCAGAAGGCTAACTGTTTACAGGAGCACTCGATGTCACATACAGGTGACAAACGTTATAGATGTGATGTGTGTGGTAAAGCATTCAACCAATCATATACTTTAAAAACACACTTGAGGAGACGAACAGGTGAAAAGCCTTATAAATGTGATGTATGTATGAAAGAATTCTCTGTTCCATGTTCTTTGAAGATACACAAGATGATACATAAAGGAGAGAAGAATTTTCAGTGTGTTGTGTGTGGGAAAGCATTCAACCAATCAAGTAATTTAAATAGACATCTGAAGAGACATACAGGTGAAAAACCCTACAGTTGTGGTTTGTGTCAGAAAGCATTTTATGAAACATCAGATTTGAAGTCACATCTGAGGAAACATACAGGTGAGAAACGATATACCTGCAGTGCATGTGGGAAGGTGTTCACACATTCTGCTGGCTTACGGGTGCACAAGAAAACACATACATGTATTAAACCTTACTCCTCCACTCTACAAATTCAAAGCAATGCTGAAAATATAAAGAACTATAATGCTTATGACAATTGCCAAAAGTTATTAGAAGGACGCAGCAACAATCATTTGAGTAAGAAACCTTATGAATGTAACATCTGTATGAAAGGTTACGGCCGTGCATATCACTTAGAGAAACACATGGGGACGCATTCCAATGAAAAATCCTATAAATGGGATGTAAGTGGAAAATCCTTTGAATCAGGCACCTTTCAGACACGCAAAACGACACATACAGGTGACAAACCCTGTAAATGTGATGTATGTGGAAAGACATTCAATCGGTTACTAGGCTTACAGAATCACATGAGGACACATACAGTTAAGAAGCCTCATAAATGTGATGTGTGTGGGAAGGCATTCACTTACCTTAGCGCCCTTCAGAGACACAAGAGGATACACACAGGCGAAAAGCCTTTTCAGTGCGTTGTGTGCGGACAGGCCTTCTCTTATTCATATTCTTTGAAGATACATAAGAGAGTCCACACAGGTGAAAAGCCTTATAAATGTGATGTATGTGGGAAAACATTCTCTGTTTTATGTTCCTTGAAGAAACATAAGAGAATTCATACAGGTGAGAAGCCTTTTCAATGTGATGTGTGTGGAAAAACATTTAACCAATCAAGTGATTTATGGACACACATGAATACACATCCGGCTGATAAACCCTATAAATGTGATTTGTGCGAAAGAGCATACTATCAAAAATCATGTTTGAAAAAGCACCTGAGGAAACATAATTTTGAGAAACCTTATATTTGTGAAGTATGTGGAAAGGCGTTCAAGTATTGTCAAAGCTTACAAGATTGCAGCAGAGCTCATACTTGTGATAAACCTTATTAATTAGATTTTTGTCGAAATTCTATCTCCGATGCAAATTCTTTAAAGGATTATGTAAAGATACATACAAATGTGTTGTACATTATATGTGAACATTTATTCATCAGGTCATATGGATTAAAAAGACATATGAGGACACATATTGATGAAAGCATATAAATGTAGATAAACCTTATAAACGTGATTTTTGTCAGAAACATAAATAAGAGTAGTTATAAATTTAGTATGAGAAGAGACACTAGGATACATACAGGTAATTTTACCACATACAAGAAGTTGCGTTAGGTATAATGTATTTGACCCGACCGTCAGTCAGTCAGTAAATCTGTCAGTCCTGTTTTTTGGCAGTGCAACCCCTCATAAACCGCTGCACTGAATTTCATCAAACTTTGCAGATATTTAGAACACAATGTGTAGATGTGCATAAGATGATCCATACAGGTGAAAAGCCTATTAAATGTGATGTATGTAGGAAAACATTCTCTGTTGTAAGTTCCTTGAAGAAACATAAAAGAATCCATACAGGCGAGAAGCCTTTTCAATGTGATGTGTGTGGAAAAACATTTAACCAATCAAGTAATTTCAGGAAACACTTGAATACACATCCAAGCTGATAAAACTCATAAAAGCAATTTGTGCGAAAGAGCATACGATCAAAAATCATGTTTGAAAGATCACAGGAGGAGACATACTTTTGAGAAACCTTATACTTGTGATGTATGTGGAAAGGCCTTCAAATATTCCAAAAGCTTACAGGATCACAGCAGAACACATACTGGTGATACACCTTATAAATTTGATATTTGTCCGAAAACATTCAGTGATAGATATAAAATGAAAAGACACACGAGGATACATAACTGTAATAAACCTTTTTAATGTGATTTTTGTCAAAAGTCTTTCTCCGATGCTTATTCTTTAAAGGACCATGTAAAGATATATACAAGTTGACATGGTTAAAACCTTACAAATGTGATGTACC